TGCGAGAAGATCCAACCAGTCCATCCTCCAGGAAATAAAGCCCGACTGCTCACTGGAGGGAAGGATATAGAGACAAAGATGAAGTACTTTGGCCACATCATGAGGAACGGAAAGCTTAGAGAAGACAATGATGCTGGGGAAAGTGGAAGGCAAAAGGAAGAGGGGCCGACCACGGGCAAGATGGATGGATGGCATCCTTGAAGTGACTGGACTGACCTTGAAGGAGCTGGGGGTGGTGACGGCCGACAGGGAGCTCTGGCGTGGGCTGGTCCATGGGGTCACGAAGAGTGAGAGAATTGGCAGTCTGCAAGGACGTTGCCCAGGGGACGCCTGGATGATTTGATGTTTTTATCATCCTTGTGGGAGGCTTCTCTCATGTCCCCGCATGAGGAGCTGGAGCTGATAGAGGGAGCTCATCCGCCTCTCCCCGGATTCGAACCTGCGGCCTGTCGGTCTTCAGTCCTGCCGGCACAGGGTTTAACCCACTGCGCCACCGGGGGCTCCATTCAATGCTAATAAGGGTCACCTAACACCTCCCAACAAAGGATTCCTGTTAAACCTTGTGATTTTATATTGCTGATGTGTTATAGATGATCTAATTTCCCCGGGGAGTGAATTCCACAGGTGGGGGGCCACCACCGAGAAGGCCCTGTCCCTCGTCCCCACCAATCTCATTTGTGACAATGGCGGGTCCGAGAGCAGGGCCCCTCCAGAAGATCTTAAATTCCTAGGCGGGACGTAGAAGGAGATACGTTCGGACAGGTACGCTGGGAAAGTGAATAGCGGTATTGCTTTGCTTTGCTATCAGAAGATCTGTGCACTATGGGTCCCCAGGATGAGAGAACGGTGAGATGCTGGTTGCCGAAACAGATTGTCAACTTCTTCCATGACTTCAGAAAACTTGTTCATCATTGGCAGAAATGTATCCAATTGTCTGGTGACTATGTGGGAAAGTGAATAGTGGTATTGCTTTGCTTGGCTATCGGAAGATCTGTGTACGATGGGTACCCAGGATGAGAGAACTGTGAGACACTGGTTGGTTTTTATTTTTACATTTTATTGCTGTCTTTTGTTATATTGATGTATTGTGTTGTTGGCTTGGGCTCATGTAAGCCACCTCGAGTCCCCATGAGGAAATAGTGGCGGGGTATACATAAAGTATTATTATTATTATTATTATTATTATTATTATTATTATTATTATTATTAAAGGATTCCACCAGGCTTTGAAGCTGCAAGGCTTTACAATGCTAATCAAGGTGGCCAATGGCAACATTCAGACTTGCCTCCAACAGACGAAAGTTCTTTCTCCCACCCTGGACATCATTCCACAGATATATAAACCTCACTTGCCTAGTTTCCAACAGTTCTCATCACTCTGACGATGCCTGCCAGTGCCACAGATGCAGGCAAAACGTCAGGAGAGAATGCTTCTAGAACATGGCCATACAGCCCGAAAAACCTACAACAACCCAGTGATTCTGGCCATGAAAGCCTTTGACCATACAAAAGGCTGACAGTTCAAAGCCGGATCAGGGTGAGCTCCTGACCTTCAGCCCAGCTCCCTGCCGTCCTAGTGGATTGAAAACAGCAATGTAAGTAGATGAATAGCAACTGCATTAAGTGGGGAGGTATTTTAGGCACAGCATTTCGATCAGAAAAAGAAGTTTATGAACAAGGAAAGCTCTTCGGCAAGGAGATGGAGCAACAGCGCCCCCCTGTGGCTGGAACCGAGCACAGCCTCCAAAAGATATTTTTATTAATATTTTCAAAAACCCGCAAAACAGCGAGTCCACGAAAAGCAAACTGCGAAGTAGCGAGGGAACACTGTATGTTGTTTTAAGAAGTAGTTTTTATTAATTTTTATTTATTATTTTTTTATTAATATTTTCAAAAACTCATGAAACAGAGTCTGCTAAAAGTGAATCACGAACTAGCGAGGGAACACTGTATGTTCTTTTAAGAAGTTTTTATTAATTTTTTAAAATTATTTTTTATTAATATTTTCAAAAACTCATGAAACAGAGAGTCTGCTAGAAACGAATCACGAACTAGCGAGGGAACACTGTATGTTGTTTTAAGAAGTAGTTTTCATTAATTTTTTATGTATTCATTTTTTATTAATATTTTCAAAAACTCGCAAAACAGAGAGTCTGCTAAAAGTGAACTGTGAAGTAGCGAGGGAACACTGTATGTTGTTTTAAGAAGTAGTTTTCATTAATTTTTTTAAACTAATTTTAAAATTAATATTTTCAAAAACTCGCAAAACAGAGAGTCTGCTAAAAGTGAACTGTGAAGTAGCGAGGGAACACTGTATGTTGTTTTAAGAAGTAGTTTTTATTAATTTTTTAAAACTAATTTTAAAATTAATATTTTCAAAAACCGGCGAAACTGCGAGTCCGCTAAAAGCGAACCACAAAGTAGCTGTATGTTGTTTTAAGAAGTAGTTTTCATTAATTTTTTATGTATTCATTTTTTATTAATATTTTCAAAAACTCGCAAAACAGAGAGTCTGCTAAAAGTGAACTGTGAAGTAGCGAGGGAACACTGTATGTTGTTTTAAGAAGTAGTTTTTATTAATTTTTTAAAACTAATTTTAAAATTAATATTTTCAAAAACTCGCAAAACAGAGAGTCTGCTAAAAGTGAACTGTGAAGTAGCGAGGGAACACTGTATGTTGTTTTAAGAAGTAGTTTTTATTAATTTTTTAAAACTAATTTTAAAATTAATATTTTCAAAAACTGGCGAAACAGCGAGTCCGCTAAAAGCGAACTGCGAAGTAGCGAGGGAACACTGTATGTTATTTTAAGAAGTTTTCATTATTTTTTATTTATTAATTTTTATTAATATTTTCAAAAACCCACAAAACAGCAAGTCTGCTAAAAAGTGAACCACAAAGTAGCTGTATGTTGTTTTAAGAAGTAGTTTTTATTAATTTTTATTTATTAATTCTTTATTAATATTTTCAAAAACCTGCTAAACAGCGAGTCCGCTAAAAACGAACCGCGAAGTAGCGAGGGAACACTGTATGTTGTTTTAAAAAGTAGCTTTTATTAATTTTTAATTAATTTTTATTAATATTTTCAAAAACCTGCTAAACAGAGAACCTGCTAAAAGTGAACCACGAAGTAGCGAGGGAACACTGTATGTTGTTTGAAGAAGTAGTTTTTATTAATTTTTTATTTATTAATTTTTATTAATATTTTCAAAAACCTGCGAAACAGTGGGTCCGCTAAAAGCGAACCGCGAAGTAGCGAGGGAACACTGTATGTTGTTTTAAGAAGTCGTTTTTATTATTATTTTATTTATTTATTATTTATTAATATTTTCAAAAACCCGCAAAACAGCGAGTCCACTAAAAGTGAACCGCGAAGTAGCGAGGGAACACTGTATATGTGTTCTGTGAGCTGCTCCGAGTCCCCTTCGAGGTGACAAGGGTGGAATATAAGTGCTGTAAATAATAAAAGCACCAACTGGAAATATAACATACAGGATAGATATAACACAATTAACAAAGACTTCAACAACAAAAAATCCTTTTTGAACAAAGAAAGTTTACATTTATTTAGAATGTATTTTATAGCAGCACCAGCATTGGGAGGATGGTGAAAGAGGCTGAGAAACAGGAAAGACTGGTGCCACGTTGCAACAGCAGGTCTACGTTGCAACCTGCCACCAAATTTTCTGTTCATGAATAATGCCCAGAAACATACAGTATGCCCAGAACATGCAACATATCATTGTCCTTCTTTAGGGGTCCCTTTCAAATCTAGGATACTATATCTGTGTGTGTATGAATCATATCTATTGATCTTTATCTATGGCTGGATGGCTCTTTGTCAGGAGGGCTTTGATTACGTTTTCTTGAAGTGAGTTGGACTGGATGGCCTTAAGTATTTTCTGTTGGTCATGGGGGTTCTGGTGAGAAGTTTGCCCCAATTCTGTCGTTTGTGGGGTTCAGAATGTTCTTTGATTGTAGGTGAACTATAAATCCCAGTAACTACAATCCCAAATGTCAAGGTCTATTTCCCCCAAACACCATCTGTGTTCATATTTGGGCATATGGAATATTCATGCCAAGTTTGGTCCAGATCCATCATTGTTTGAGTTCATGGTAGTCTCTGGATGTTGGTGAACTACAACTCCCAAACTCAAGGTCAATGCTCACCTAACCCTTCTAGTGTTTTCTGTTGGTCATGGGAGTCCTGTATGCCCCGGTTGGTTCAATTCTATCATGCTATTTGATTGTAGGTGAACTATAAATCCCAGCAACTACAACTCCCTATCTATCTATCTATCTATCTATGGCTGGATGGCTCTTTGTCAGGAGGACTTTGATTACGTTTTCATGCCCTGGTGAAGGGAGTTGGACTTGATGGCCTTAAGTTTTTTCTGTTGGTCATGGGGGTTCATGTGGGAAGTTTGTCCCAATTCTTTCGTTTGTGGGATTCAGAATGTTCTTTGATTGTAGGTGAACTATAAATCCCAGTAACTACATCTCCCAAATGTCAAGGTCTATTTCCCCCCAAACTCCATCTGTGATCACATTTGGACATATGGAATATTTGTGCCAAGTTTGGTCCAGATCCATCATTGTTTGAGTCCACAGTGCTCTCTGGATGTAGGTGAACTACAACTCCAAACTCAAGGTCAATACCTACCGACCCCTTCCAGTATTTTAACCTGTTGGTCATGGGAGTCCTGTATGCCCCGGTTGGTTCAATTCTATCATGCTATTTGATTGTAGGTGAACTATAAATCTCAGCAACTACAACTCCCTGTCTATCTATCTATCTCTCTATCTATCTATGGCTGGATGGCTCTTTGTCAGGAGGACTTTGATTATGTTTTCTTGCCCTGGTGAAGGGAGTTGGACTGGATGGCCTTAAGTATTTTCTATTGGTCATAGGGGTTCTGTGTGGGAAGTTTGGGCCACTTCTATCGTTAGGGTTCAGAATGTTCTTTGATTGTAGCTGAACTATAAATCCCAGCAACTACAACTCCCAAATTTCAAGGTCTATTTTCCCCAAACTCCACCAGTGTTCACATTTGGGCATATTGAGTATTCATGCCAAGTTTGGTCCAGATCCATCATTGTTTGAGTCCACAGTGCTCTCTGGATGTAGGTGAACTACAACTCCCAAACTCAAGGTCAATATCTACCAAACCTTTCCAGTATTTTCTATTGGTCAGGGACTTCTGTGTGCCAAGACTGGTTCAATTCCATCGCTGGTGGAGTTCAGAATGCTCTTTGATTGTAGGTGAACTACAAATTCCAGAAACTAAAACTCCCAAATGTCAAGGTCTATTTTCCCCAAACTCCACCAGTGTTCACATTTAAGTTTGGTCCAGATCCATCATTGTTTGAGTCCACAGTGCCCTCTGGATGTAGGTGAACTACAACTCCAAAACTCAAGGTCAATGCCCACCAAACCCTTCCAGTATTTTCTCTTGGTCACGGGGGGTTCTGTGTGCCAAGTTTGGTTTAATTCCATCGTTGGCAGAGTTCAGAATGGTCTTTGATTGTAGGTTAACTATAATATATCCCAGCAACTACAACTCCCAAATGACAAACCCCCACCAGTATTCGAATTTGGGTGTATCGGGAATTTGTGCCAAATTTGGTCCAGTGAATGAAAATACATCCTGCATTTCAGGTATTTACATTATTATTCATAACAGTAGCAAAATTACAGTTATGAAGTAGCAACGGAAATAATATTATGTTTGGGGGTCACCACAACATAAGGATCTGTATGAGGTTGAGAACCGCTGCCTATGATCAACTTCCATTAGAGGGTGAGCATAGAGTTGTGCTGGAGGAGCAGCAAATGCCTAAAGAAGTATAGAGAGGACCTAGACATTCCTAGAGAAAACATATTAATAACATCCATGCCAAAAAATCAAATCCGAACAAAACATACAGTCCGAACAACAGGAAAAATCAGTGCGGTCTAGGGATCTCGCGTCCCTTTTGGGTCGCCCTTTGTGATGATAATGTCCGAATAGCATCACCACCACTTCAAGATGATGTTTTTGGCTTGTAGTTGACACATCACCAAACAGTTGGTCAACATGTACAAGTGCAGGATCGCCATCGCGGCAAACGTGGAGCTGTGAATGGTATCCACCAGCATGTTGACCAGGCCGGTTAAAACATTTGCCAGCAGGAAATAGAGGAGCTGGTTTCGGTTCACTGCGCTGACCATGCACACGGTTTTTGGACTCCGGGGTTCCACCGAATCGTGTTTCTTTGGGGTCAGGTTGGCCAAATTCCAACTGCCAGGAACGTCGGCCCCTTCCACTAGAAGTTTTGCAAACACCAGAACGAGATCGGCTGCGAGGAAGCAACTAAAGAGGAGCAAGGCATAGGCCACCACCCAAATGCAAAAGGAGAGATTCGCCATCCGGCGGGAAACGGCGTCGATGTGCGTTTGCGTGATGTGCAGGCATATAAAAAGGAGGCAAAAGAACGACAGCAAAACCCGAATGACACCGCACCACTCCCTCACAGTGCTTCTCTTCTTCAGCAAGTACAAACCGACCTGCACGCTAGCCATGTAGATGGCCAGGTAGCCGACGACAGAAAAGACGCCCTCTCGGTTGGCGTTGAGGAAGCCGTCCCTCGAATCGTTGCCGTCCCCTCCGTGCAGGATGAACGCCTTCAGACGCAGGAGGTGAAGGAGACTTTCGTAAACGACCGCCAGTGCTGCGGCGACGATCCACGATTTGTGGACAGGGAAGACGGCCAGAAGCAGCGATGCTCCCATGCGGACGGCAGCTAAGGTGAAGAAGAAGTTCCAGTGGACGCCGTATTCGGAGATGTGTTCGTGGTACTCGACCGCCTTGACGCTCAGTAGCCGGCCAAAGCCGAGGAAGAGCAGTGGCCAGACGGCGAGGAACTGCCTCACGAGGGAAAAGGACGCACGCCGGACCTCACCAGGCCGCAGTCGGACCTCGGGGCAAACCACGGCATTCCCAAACACGAAGGAACCGACCCCAAAATCCATCACTCCCGTCCCGTACGTCTCCGTTTTGGCATATCGCCGCGGATACTGCGGGAAGTCCACAGCCAAGATGCTGATGGACGTCAAGACATTGACAAACACCCGGAATGCGGTGATGGACGGGATGTAGGTTGGCTCTAAGCCGCTCCTCCAAAAATCGCTGAGGATTTGCTTCCGGGGCACTTTGGCATAACGGGTCCTCTTGTGGTAGATGATGAAAACCAAGCCTGTACAGAACGCCATGATGGACAGTATCACCCAAAGCAGGACGGGAGCCAACACTGTGCAGGACAACACCGGAGGAACGACCAAAACACTAAAATCTAGGAGGAAATGGCCACTGCTTGAATGTAAAGGTTTCCCACGGAGGAGGAAATACAGAATTAATAGAAGCCCCCGGGTCAGGAGGCATAGCGGTGCAATTGGTAAGCCGACTGAGATCTCAAGCAACGTGGTCCCATTGAGGTTGCTGATGAAGTCCTCGTTCACCCGCTCTTGCGGCATCCTTCCACCTCTGCAAGAGGAAGGAAAGGAACAAAAGAGCGGTGGTTATTCTTCTTCATGCATTTACGCCATGTTGGTTTTTCAACAATCGGCAGAGATTCACACCTGGATCTCACAACTCACGGAAAAGCCAACAAGCCCAGAATTAGTGTTCAGGACAAGAGACTGGATGTATTATTATTATTATTATTATTATTATTATTATTATTATTATTATTTGAAACACAACAAGATGAGTCAACAGCAAACAATGGAGGACTCTGGGGATCACTCTGCTGGCTGTTGTATGGGATCACACGTCGGACACTTCCCAAGTGTCCTCCACTTTGAAGTTTAAGAACTTCAAAATGCCTTGCCTTCAGTGCAAGACAAAGGGAGGGAGGAGAGAAGAGTGGAGCTCCAGAGTCTTCCATTATGAAGTTCTTAAAATGCCTTGCTTTTGGTGCAAGACAAAGGGAGGAGAGAAGAGTGGAGCTCCAGCGTCCTCCATTGTGAAGTTCTTAAAATGCCTTGCCTTCGGAGCAAGAAAAAGTGAGGGAGGAGAGAAGAGTGGAGCTCCAGAGTCCTCCATTATGAAATTCTTAAAATGCCTTGCCTTCGGAGCAAGAAAAAGGGAGGGAGGAGAGAAGAGTGGAGCTCCAGAGTCCTCCATTGTGAAGTTCTTAAAATGCCTTGCCTTCGGAGCAAGAAAAAGGGAGGGAGGAGAGAAGAGTGGAGCTCCAGAGTCCTCCATTATGAAATTCTTAAAATGCCTTGCCTTCGGAGCAAGAAAAAGGGAGGGAGGAGAGAAGAGTGGAGCTCCAGAGTCCTCCATTATGAAATTCTTAAAATGCCTTGCCTTCGGAGCAAGAAAAAGGGAGGGAGGAGAGAAGAGTGGAGCTCCAGAGTCCTCCATTATGAAATTCTTAAAATGCCTTGCCTTCAGAGCAAGAAAAAGGGAGGGAGGAGAGAAGAGTGGAGCTCCAGAGTCCTCCATTGTGAAGTTCTTAAAATGCCTTGCCTTCGGAGCAAGAAAAAGGGAGGGAGGAGAGAAGAGTGGAGCTCCAGAGTCCTTCATTATGAGTGATGGTCACTCATTGGCCTGATAGGTGTATTATGTTCAAATTTGGTGTCAATTCATCGAGTGGTTTTTGAGTTATGTTAATCCCACAAACGAACATGACATTTTTATTTATATATATACTAGCCGTCCCCTGTCACCCGTTGCTGTGGCCCAGTCTGTGTATATGTATTTTGTGTGTGTATATATGTTTATATGCATGTGTATATATTTGTGTATATGTGGTTTTGCGCATTGTAATATATATTTTTAATTTGGGGGTTTTTAAGTCCCTTCTGTTGTGTTTTTCAGTGTTTGTATGAGTGATGGTCACTTGTTGACCTGATAGGTGTATTGTGTCCAAATTTGGTGTCAATTCGCCCAGTGGTTTTTGAGTTATGTTAATCCCACAAATGAACATTACATTTTTATTTATATAGATTTATCATATCTACTATGATTTATTCTATTATTTATTATACTACTATAAGAAATAATAAATGTATTTTATTACATTTATTATTATATTTATTGCTGCATTTATTGTACTATTATGATTATATTTATCATACCTATTATTTATTGCACTGTTATAGTTTTTGTGTGTGTATATACGTGTGTGTGTGTGTGTATATATATATATATATATAAAGCTATTACAGTGCAATAAATAATAGGTAAATAAATCTATTACAGTGCAAGAAAAGGGTTTCCTATAAGGCTGCAAACCTGCATGCATGCACATGCATATACACACACACATATACACATATATATGCATGCATACAGGTTTGCAGCCTTATAGGAAACCCTTTAGAGAGAAAGACTATAATTTGAATTTACCTGCATTGATGTGCGTAACCTCTCCCAAAAGAAGGAAGCGAAGCCAGGAAGGGAAGACTAGGGGCTCATCCACAAAGCTATCTAACCCAGAATATCAAAGCAGATCCCCCACAATACCTGCTTTGGACTGGGTTATCTGAGTCCACACTGCCATATATTCCAGTTCAATGTGGGTTTTATGCAGCTGTGTGGAAGGGGCCTCTGATCCGAATGTCAAGAGGGATCTGATTTGCCTTTGGATGGAAAGAGAGAGACATGCACCAGTCCTGAGCCTGCCAATTGCTTCCTTCCTGAAAAGGGAAAGGAAACCAGGGCTTGGTTTCTGGGCAGCACTTTCGACACCAAGGCTTTTGCTGATTCAAACAGCAATGGAAAAGCACGTGGTTTGTGTGTGTATGTATATATATAATGCAGAAAATATAATATATAAAAATAATATATTAAACAAATTATATACAAAAATAATATATAAAACAAATTATAAAAAATAATATATAAAACAAATTATGTACCATTATATACAAATTATATAATACAGAAAATATAATATATAAAAATAACATATAAAATTATATACAAAAATAATATATAAAATAAATTGTAAAAATAATATATAAAACAAATTATGTACAATTATATACAAATTATATAATACAGAAAATATAATATATAAAAATAATATATAAAACGAATTATGTACAATTATATACAAATTATATAATACAGAAAATATAATATATAAAATAACATATAAAAATTATATACAAAAATAATATATAAAACAAATTATAAAAATAATATATAAAACAAATTATGTACAATTATATACAAATTATATAATACAGAAAATATAATATATAAAAATAATATATAAAACAAATTATGTACAATTATATACAAATTATATAATACAGAAAATATAATATATAAAATAATATATAAAATTATATACAAAAATAATATATAAAATAAATTGTAAAAATAATATATAAAACAAATTATGTACAATAATAATAAAAATAATATATAAAATTAAATTATAAATTATTAATATATAAAAAATAATGTTATTATAAAAATTACACAAATAATGAGCGAGCACTGTATTATAGCACTTTGTGTTGGCCAAAGGAGTGCACTGGAACTACACAAATAATGAGCGAGCATTGTTTTATAACACTTTCTGTTGGCAAAAGGACCGCACTGCTTGGAACTACACAAATGAAATGCTTGCCCTGTTGTGGAGCGAACACAGCCACAGGACAGGGACAAACGCACACACAGGCACACAAGTTTCTTTTCTTTTTTTAGAATATTTTTTGAATTTTTTGAAGAATAAAAGAAATATATTTTCCGGAAATATTTAAAAATGTAGGGCGAAAACAGGGCAAAGCCTCCCCGCTGCTCCCAGCCCAGGGAATGAATGCAAGCAATGAATGAATGCAAGCAATGAATGAATGCAAGCAATGAATGAATGCAAGCAAGCCAAGCCTCCCTCCCGAACCTCCCGTCTCCTCGCCTTCCCCAGCAATGAGCACTGCGCCCACGCGGAGCCGCTTTTAAAGGGCAGCCCGCCCAATCACAATGAGCCACGGTGCTTGGGAGCGCCGGATTGGCTCCTGGCGCACCCAGCATCCTCCATCCCTAAAACGTCATTTCCGAAATGGGCGGAAGCTCGTAAAAAAGATGGAGGATGCCGTTTCGATATTTAAAAACACTTCCGGGTTTGAAAATAAGTTTTGTAATCATTTTGTAATTGTTAAAAATAACGAATATTTAACGAATTACAAAATTAACGAACGAAACCGCTCAGGCCTAGTGAGCACCCTCTGAGTTCGTCCATTTAACAATTACAGACAAGAGGCCTGAGCTATATCAGGAAGATTCACAAGGCCACATTCCTGGGAGAGGCTCTTCACAATCTTTCTCAGAGCAAGTGTCCTAAGATGATTTGTCAAGTGCAAAAGTTAATGAGAGTCAAGTTAATGAGAGTGTAGATCAGGTTTCTCAACCTTCCTAATGCCGCGACCCCTTAATACAGTTCCTTATATTGTGATGACCCCCCAGCCAAAAAATTATTTTCGTTGTTACTTCATACTGTAATTTTGCTACTGTTATGAATCGTAATATTAGGCCTGTGCGGTTTCGTTCGTTAATTTGTTAATTCGTTATTAATTCATTATTTTTGGCATTTCCGAAGCGATATCAAAACACATTTCCAAACCCGGAAGGGTTTTAAAATATCGAACCAGCAACCCCCATAGATTTAACGAGCTCCGCTCGTTTCGTTAATGGGGTGGAGGCTGCTGGAGTGCTGGTGCCTGGGAGCCAATCCGGCGCTCCCAAGCAGTGCACCGTGGGTCCGTGGCTGTTTGTTTTTGATTGGCCGGCGAGCCCTTTCAAAGCGGCTCCGCGCGGCCGTAGCTTGCTGCAGAGGGCGAGGGAGTTTGCATTGGGTTGGCTTGGCTGCTAGCAACTGGATTAATGGATTCATTCCTTGCTGCTGTGAGTGCTGCTTGCTTCATTTGCTGTCTCCTGCCTGTGTTTGGTCCACATTTGGGCCATTTTTTGGTTAATTTTCCATTTTAAAATATTTTTTAATATTATTTTAATATTATTTTTAATATTATTTTTTAATATTATTTTAATATTATTTTTTAAAAATATTCTAAAAAAGAAAAGACTCTTCTGTTGCTGTGTGCTCTCATTTGCTGTCTCCTGCCTGTGTTTGGTCCACATTTGGGCCATTTTTTGGTTAATTTTCCATTTTAAATATTTTTTAATATTATTTTAATATTATTCTTAAAAAATACCAAAAATATTCTAAAAATTCGTTAATATTTACAAAATTTCGTAAATACCAAAACTTTTTGGGGGAAAGTTTTGTAATTATTTTAAATATCGAAACAAAAAAACACCCCAATTACAAATCGATTTTAGAAACAAATTTTTTCTTGATCAAACAGGCCTACGTAATATAAATATTTGATATGGAGGATGTATTTTCATTCACTGGACCAAATTAGGCACAAATACCCAATACGGCCAAATTTGAATACTGGTGGGGTTGGGGTAGGGTATTGATTTTGTCATTTAGGAGTTATAAAAGCTGGGATTTATAGTTCACCTACAATCAAAAAGCATTCTGAACTCCAAAAACGATAGAATTGAAGCAAACTTGGCACACAGACAGGGGCGGCTCAAGGCGGTACGCAAATTACGCATTTGCGTAGAGCGCGCGTCTGGGGGGGTGCGCCCTTGAGTTGCCCCTGCCACAAGGCAGCTCGCTCTCCCTCCCTCCTTGTGTAAGGCCCTCAACATGGCCATGGCTATGGAGGGCCTTACACATGGCTATGGAGGGCCTTCCCCACCCGCCGCCTGCACCTTCCGGCCTCGGAGGACGTGAGAGGCGAGTGTAAGGCCCTCGCCATGGCCACGGCTATGGAGGGGGCCTTTCTTGCTTGCCTCTCACACCCTCCGACCTCGGAGGACGTGAAAGGCGAGTGTAAGGCCCTCATCATGGCCACGGCTATGTAAGGGGGCCTTTCTGCTCGCCTCTTGCACCCTCCGACACACACACACACACACACACACACTCACACACACACACACATATATATATATATCAGTTATTGGTTTGGGGTGAGGGCACCAAAATACTATTTGCTTACCATTGAAAATTACCTAGGGCCGCCTCTGCACACAGAAGTCCCACGAGCAACAGAAAATACTGGAAGGTTTTGATGAGCATTGACCTTGAGTTTGGGAGTTGTACTTCACCTACATTCAGAGACCACTTTGGACTCAAACAATGATGGATCAGGACCAAATTTGGAACAAATACTCAATATGCCCAAATGTGGACACCGGTAGAATTTGGGGAAAATAGACCTTGATATTTGGGAATTGTAGTTTCTGGGATTTATAGTTCACCTACAATCAAAGAGCAATCTGAACTCCATCGACAATAGAATTGGAGCAAACTTCCCACACAGAACCCCCATGACCAACAGAAAATACTGTGTTGTCTGATGATCTTTGGCGACCCCTCTGTCTCCCCCTTGCGACCCCCCCAGGGGTCCCGACCCCCAGGTTGAGAAAGGAAATGCTTTCCTTTCGGTTCTGGGATGTGGAAAAGCCTTATATTAATCCAAGGGGAAAAGTTGCCTCAGTTGAGTCAACGTTGGAATTTCATGCTTTCAACTGTTCTTAGTTTCATGCACCAAGTTTTTTCCAAGCTCATAATTTTTGTATTGGATTTTTCATGCTCCTTGTTTCATGGATTCTTGTGCCTGTTTCATGGATTGTTATACTGAAGGATCTTGTTTGGTCTTGAAGCTCACGGACTAACCTTTGTTTTGGAATTTTACTGTTTTTGCTATTTTACTCCTTTGCCTACTTATATTTATTTATTTTATTTATTATTTATTTACTATTCTTGTATACCGCTGTATCTCAAGCCCGAGGGCGACTCACAGCGGTTTCCAAACAGCAAAGACAATAAAAACAGCAATAATCAATATACAAAACAGTTAAATTACACAGTTCCATTAATAGCTAATAAAGCAATCAACAATACACAATTATCACAAATCCCATCCCCCGATCGCCTCATCATCCAAACGTGATCCAAATTCGTCGTCCATTGTTCCGTTCCTATGTTCAAATTACCAGAATTGCACTGAATTACTCAAACGCCTGCACAAACAACCACGTCTTTAGTCTCTTGCGGAATGACATAAGGGAGGGCGCCAGTCTGATGTCCACAGGGAGGGTGTTCCACAGCCGGGGGGCCATCACCGAGAAGGCCTATCCCTCGTCCCCGCCAACCGTGCCTGTGAGGCAGGCGGGATCAAGAGCAGGGCCTCCCCGGACGATCTCAAAGTCCGGGTGGGTTCATAGGCCGAGATGCGGTCAGATAGGTATCTTGGGCCGGAACCGTTTAGGGCTTTATAGGCCAATACCAACACCTTGAATTGGGCCCGGTAGCAAATCGGCAGCCAGTGGAGCTGGTGCAACAGGGGGGTTGTGTGCTCCCTGCGCTCTCCTGTTAGTATCATGGCTGCCGCACGTTGGACTAGTTGGAGCTTCCGGGCCGTCTTCAAAGGCAACCCCACGTAGAGAGCGTTGCAGTAGTCTAGGCGGGATGTAACCAGAGCGTGGACTACCGTGGCCAAGTCAGACTTCCCAAGGTACGGGCGCAGCTGGCGCACAAGCTTTAACTGTGCAAATGCTCCCCTGGTCACTGCCGAAACCTGGGGTTCCAGGCTCAGCGATGAGTCCAGGATCACACCCAAAGCTGTGAACCTGTGTCTTCAGGGGGAGTGCGACCCCATCCAACACAGGC